GTTGCAATCAGAGGTCGGGAAGAATAGTAAATATCTATTTGAATGAAGAAAATTGTGCTGGCCGAAATAAGCGCTAAAAAACCATCTTACAGTCAGTTCGCGCGGCTCACTGTAGATGGCGCACGACCTATTTGTAAATGTGCTGTAATTATTTTGTAATTCTCACGCAGTACAGGCAATTACGGACAAAAGAAACAATGTTTTATATTATTAGTCTTAGAAGACTGATCAGCGCATCAAATAATGTTTTTTGCTAGATCGGCGCGATGCACAATTTATTAACTGGGCCGTACTGCCAGCTAACTGTGACATGTAAAATATTGACGTTGTTTTTATTCGTTCGTAAATGATAAATGGTTGCGGAATGACATTGAAAAAGCACAGCTGCTGAGCGCCGCCCAGTAACACAGACATTTCGCTTCGAAAAGAAAGTTTTTCGTGTTACTTCGAACAAATTTAGACAAGCATCATCCGTCGACGTACCGGCGAGTTCAATTTCCAATCCTTTCTTTAACGGGTGATACTTGTAGTCGTAAAATATTTGCTTCAAATATTAATCAGGACCGTCGACGAGTCCAACTCGGCGCGCGTCCTGGTAGGTTATAAACCTACAAGTCACGCGTCGCGATCCTCATTTGTATTTCATTTCGCCCCCGCTATACCGTGGCGAAAGCCACGATACGACCGCCCAGCCCACAACTAAGGGCTGAGGGTAATAAATTTACCGGATGGTGCAGGGAAATTGGTAAAAACACGACTTTAATCTTACATTAATTGTATAAAATTCTAAGTTCAGGTAAACAAGCAAAGTTTGTTTTTAATTATTACATATAACTATTTGTTGACGGATGTAACTCGTTTAATTTTTTCGATTCGAAGTTTACTGGGCCGCGCTCAGCCTCAAGCCTGTCATTCCGCCGAATTTATATGATTATGAACATATAATACACAAATTAAGTGCACAAGTAAGTAAGTAAATATTTCATGCTAGGCATGTAGCACCCATTACGGTACGGGTAACCACTAACCATCCATTGAGTTGTTGCTTTTTCACTTTGCATAGCAGCATGCAGCTCAGCGAGGTCCGCATTACCTGAGGACCCCTTGTATCACGTGGTGACCCCCACGGTCGCTTCACTATAGTGGCCCCCTGTAGAGTCTTCGACGATACAGGGGAGCCGCGCACTTCGTGCGCGGCGGGTCATACAACGTATGACAAAGGACCCCAGGCTATTATGTTCATTAACATATATAACGAATAAAGATTTGGCGGAATGACAGGCTGAGCGCGGCCCAGTAACATTCCTCCATAGCTCCATTCTCCAATGAGTATGTTTTTAAATATTATAGCTTGTAGCACGATGCGTTACTGTGCCGCGCCGCGCATTCAATTATTGATTATGCTTCTTGCAACGCTAAATCGGTGAAATGCGCTACTGTGCCTCGCCGAGCTGCGATGAATTGACATCGTCAGTTAACATTATAGCCTGTGCAGCAACAGTACACGCGCTTTAACCTAACCATGTGCTTTCGCGCCACTGCAGCGTGCAGGCGCGCTCGTTTCACACGGGAGGCGAGCGGAGAGGAGTTTAAAGATAAAATAGAGATAAGGATAAAATACATATATAAATAGATAAAGATAGCGATTAGAATATTAAATAGAGATTTTACAGCAATTTTACAAAAATGACACACATGGGCCACCTAATGATATACATGATAAACCTGCTAGCGCATGTGTATCAAAAAATGTTTTGACACACATACGCTACCTAGGAAGCGCATGTGTATCATTATTTTTTTTGACACACATGCGCTTCCATAGTACGTAGTTCACTTTTGTTCTTGCAGCCTGGTTGACGTATGTTGAAATTATTATTCAATGGAATTCGTATCGAAGTTTAGATATTTTAGAAACTTTAAGTACTGTCTCACATCTCATATCTGCAGAAGTTATGTTAACAAATTTTGTGTTTAAATTGCAAAAGTGTTTTCAAGATGTTTTGTACTGAAAAAGTGTCACTTATGCTCACTAAATGTTTTCAACTTTTTGACAAAACTAAGATTGAACTTTAGTGACTGAATTTCCAATGCACAGTTTAGTACGTTGTATGGCCTTGATTTAATCCTTAGGTATACCCTTAGCTCAGCTTGGCTTAGTTTTATTTGGTTGAACAGTGTTTATGAACCGACTTATGGTACAGTAAAACCCCGATTTACTGCAAACCCCTATTTACTGTGGCCATCTCCATTCCCCAAATAGGGCTTAAGATGCATAATTTAAACAAACAAACATCCAATTTACTGCACAAACCTTGATTTACCGCAGATGTCTCCTTTCCCCCGCAAATGCATAATTTGATAATTTCTCGACGCCGTCGTCGGGGTGAGAGTTATCTGAACCAACTGCATGCCCCTACGATTGCGTCACCACTGGTGAGCAAGCATTTGTTTGTTGTTTAGTTGTGTTGAAAGGAAACATTACTTGATTAATTCATCCATTCGGATTTTAATAACGATGAGCTATGATATACCGTTCATCTTAGATTATTGGATCAATCTTATTATACGATTAGATTTTATAAACGAACTTGGCACACAAAAGATTATAATGCGGAGGTTGGCTGGCTCTTCTATAATAAATACGACACTTCAATTTACAGAATGCTTGCTAGAGATAAAACAAAATATTATCAGACTATACATGCAGCATGAGTAACTCAATGAAACAAGAAATTTTTTTTTCAATGAAACAAGAAATTTAATTTTAGCACATTTTTACAGAATAAAAAGATATAAAACAATTCATAAAATATAATGCCCATTTGGTGTATGACTTTTTGTCCTTGACTGCTAGTTTGGTTTTGGACAGGTAACTAACGGGGCAAGGAATGCGCGTGCCTGGAAGCTTTTGCACACACAGAAACGCTAGTTCAGTTAAGTTTATAGAGACAAGGCTCAGATTAGGACTAGAAGAAAAATTGTAAGCAGACATTAGGGGTTCTGTTTATAGTTGTTATTATAGGTTGCAGTCTTGTTGTGACAAAAAGTCTACACTAAAATATTCTTTGGTTTATATTGTGTAGTTCAAGGATATAAAATGCAGCTTCAAGCTTTCAAGGTGGATATTGGAGAGCTAGCGAAAGATTATGGCCTTTGTATCAATGGTTATATTAAGCTGGTGGATAAGCCTTCGGTAAAAATGGATCCGGAAAAGTCAATGCGGCACTCGGGTCCTTGGTATTGTCGTCGGTATATTGTCCATTATCTACGTTCTGCTTTCGTAGTTTAAACAATAGTGAGTTCTAAATATACAGTTTTAAACCGATTAAGTATGAATGAATGAAATACCTGACAATCCGCACTCTTATAATCCAAAAGCATGAGTAACTTGTAGTGATGTATGATTTCTAGAAACTCTAAATTAAATTTGGCGCTCACAGGTCCTCATGAATATGTGATCGCCGCATAAGGTTCTGTAAATGCGCAGGGCACCTTCAAGCTTAAATTATTCACCTTACTGAGGCAGTCAACCAACGCGCGGCTTTATTTTTATGATATGATATGTTTTGATTGTTATTAATGAATACCAAAATTTAAATTTGTTTTCCTAAAATTTGTTTTCCTATTATAGAAGATGTTGTTATCGGTTTTAAGAAGTGATTTAAGTAGTAGAAATTTGCAAATGGACAACTTGCATGAATTGAACGAAATTAGAGATATAGCTGCATGCAACAGATGTTGGGAAAATCTTTTTCAAGGGTACAGTTTACCGCATTAAGGTATTTTTAAGAATCATTTTTGTCGGTAAGATCCTGTTTTATAATAATAATATAATTATAGAAGATATTATCTACTTGAACAGTTATGGCTCTTGTCCCTTACGAAAATGGAGGCCACATCTTTCAGGCAATGCACCAACCTCGGCAAACCTTTGAAATTGGTGAAAATTCTATTGATATCTTGCAGAGTTACTCAACTTCTGGTGTTGCTGGTTGTGTGTGGCGTTCATCTGTGGTTCTAAGTAAATTTATTGCACAACATCCTACATTGGTTTGTGGCAAAGGTGTCATTGAGCTTGGTGCTGGTACAGGTTTATTGGGAATATCCTGCCACAAACTGGGTGCAAGAATTGTATCCACTGACCATGAAGATTTTCTGACAAGTTTGGAACAAAACTTTGATCTCAATCACATTGATTCCAAAATGTACTGTAAAGCTCTCAATTGGGGCGCTAATATAAAGAACTTTTTAACTGACAATAATTTAACACCGCCTGATATAGTACTTGGTGCAGATATTATATATGTAAAAGAAACTTTTGATCTGCTGATGAAAACTTTAATTGATTTCAGTGCTATTAACATGGATTGCAAAATATATCTGGCATGTCAAATAAGATATGAAAAAGACAAGAAATTCATAGAAAATTCCAAGGTGCACTTCATCGTGAAAGAAGTCCCTCAGGCATTTGATGATAACATTCACGTTTATTGTCTCTCTTCAAAACCTCAATCACTTATATGATAAGGCAAGTGGCACTAAATTAAGCTCAACTGCTAAACATTTTAGACACTGTCTCCTTCGAGCTTACTGAATATGCAGCTTACATTTACTTATTTTAAAACAGTGTTTTATCATTTATTCTTTTTAATCGAACCTTTTTCAACAAACCTATTTACTATTATATATTTGATATTATCGTATTATAAAATATAATTTATCTCCTTTGTTTCCCAAAACAGTATCAGAATGTTTGATGATTATATATTATATAAAAAGTATATGTTCTGTAAAAGGTGTGCTTAATTTTTCCATGTTATTCACAGTGGTACTAAAATGTACTTATTCATAATTGACATTTGAAATCACTAAAAATGAAACCTCACTCTCACTAACCACCTGATTCTAACTGTTATTTTTAAATCAATGCACAATTGTATGAAAAATTGTTAATAATTTTAGTCTTATTCTTATCACCAAATAAGACTTACTATACAGATGGCTGCTATCATCGACTATGGAGGTTATGATTCCGATTTGGAGGAACCCCCTCCAAAGAAACCATTCCTGGCTCCAGACATGGATTCAAAAATGGAACGTTCATACAAAACAAATCGGGATAAACTTGGTGGATTCACTTCGTACAGCGATAAAGAGTCGTGGAAGACACAAACATTTCATCTTCGCAAAATGGATGCATATGACCGACATAAAGAACTTATAAAGAATTATGTGAAATTATATGGGGGCAAAGTTGAAGATTTCAACAGAGATTCGTCCAAAGACAGGAATGATTTTACAGTGGTCAAAGAGAATCACAAATTTTTATGGGAGTCAGAAAAAACCCAATCTTGGGAAGAGAGGATAGCCAAACGTTATTATGATAAACTCTTTAAAGAGTACTGCATTGCAGATCTGTCAAAGTATGAATCTCAGAGGATAGCTCTGCGGTGGCGAATAGAATCTGAAGTGAGAAAGGGTAAAGGTCAGTTTATTTGTGGCAGCAAGGGATGTTCAGAAACACTACTGCTTTGTAGTTGGGAAGTTAATTTTGCGTATGTTGAACAAAATGAGAAGAAAAATGCTCTTGTTAAAGTGAGACTCTGTCCAGATTGCTCAATTAAACTTAATATGGTTAAAAAAGTGAATAAAATTAGCAAGAAGAAGAAAAAATCTAAGCATAAAAAGAAAAGGTCTAGATCCCGGTCTAATTCATCAAAAGAAATTGACACTAATACTCCAGAAGTTGCTGGTAGTTCAAAAGATAATGAGCCTGATATTGAAACAGCTGAAAATGTTTGGAAAGGCCCCGCTCCTGAAACTTTAATAAAATCAAATGAGGACCAAATGGATGAGTTTTTAGATGATTTATTCTTGTAGCTGATTTCTTCCATGTACTCCATTACGCAAAATCAGATTTTCGTTTATAAAATCTGATGTTATATTGATTATTGGTATGTTGTCCATGTTTACTGAGTAATTAAAATGGACAATATTATATGAATAATTTGAAATGTTTTGATACTTTTAGTATTGCTGGTATAACTGGTCACTTTATATTTGAACATAAGTGTTCATTTTTATCATTCGTTTCATATAAATTATTTCGAACAATATTCCTTTGTTATAAAATCGTCATCATTGAGTCAATTCAGAAACGGCCAGAAATTTTCTTGAAATCTTTAGATATTCTTATTTCATTTCATGTTCAATCCATCTAACATGCTAATTAAAACTTTAAGATCTGTCATGAACTGTTCTATTTTATCTTGGAATGACAGTCACAATATTCTGATAAAAAGAGAGCTGATATATTACCCTTCAAAACCAGGTAAATTCTAAATCTTGTTTGGAAATATTTACTTGATACATTAATTAGATGTCATTGACCTAAACGTAAGGAGAACGAAGGGTGCTCGATATACAATACTATTCTGAAATGTAGATCTTTACAGTGGCCGACAGAAGGTTAATTAGTATTTCGGGAGATGGCTGGATAAAATCTTAGTTCTTTTCATTCCTTACCTTACCTACATTCTACAATCATTTCAGGATAAATTCAGACAGCAGATGATCGGTATCGAATGGAGATTATCGACAAATTTCTGATTCTATGAAGAAGTTAAGAATTATTTACTGTGGTACGAAATCAACCTACGTAATCGGTGAGCTGATTTTTAATAATTCGCTTTTGAAACAATGCAACAGCCATAAGTAAAACCTATATTTAGTACTCTTTCTCCATCGAACTACCTTATTGAAACAGACAAAGTGAAACAAAGCAAATTACTGATGAAAATGAAATATTCTTAGTAAATTAAAACCCCGATTTACCGCGCCCCGATTGACCACAAACCCCTTTTACCGCAGCCATCTCCTTTCCCCAAAATAGGCCTTAACATGCATAATGTAAACAAACAAAACCCCGATTTACTGCGGATGTTCCCTTTCCCCCAAACTACGTTTCACTTTGTCTGTCGAGAGCCGTGATGCTTCCTACTAAACACTGCAATACTATAACCTATAAATAACGCTTTGATTCTAGAAACTAATGTTTGGATGCTTGGATAATCTCCCACCTCCCTATGTAATATGAAAATCATCATCATAATACATTGTCATTAAATTGAATCAATTTAATTATTCGATATTAAAATAATTTTTATGATCATTTAAAGTTTGCAAGATTTCATTCAATATCATGGTTTGATAATAAATAACGTGAAAAGTTGCTCATCTGTTGTGATCATTACACTTCAAATGTTATCACCTCATCGTACAATGTCCAGTTCTTCTGATAGCACTCCAGACGGAAGTGTTCTTTGATCAACTGCAAAAGCTCGTTCTGATTTAGAGTAGATATTCTAAAATTTTAAGTCAGATACGACCTTAACAAGAATTGTGTCTGTTCCCGAGGGGGGGCACATCCAGAAAGGCAGCAGACCTACTTAATAACTGTCTAGTGGTAAAGTGATAGTTGATAGTCCGTAGTCAATCAAAACAATAACAACAGCTTAATGTCAGCTATACAAGCCCAGTGACCTTTTATATTACCTTCACTAAGTTCAAGCTGTCAAGAATCAAAATAATCAAATCGTATCCGTTGTAATATGATAAGAAGGGTAAGATTTTGGGAAAGTATGATCAGCTATTAATTTACTTCATGGAAAGTTCCCAATTATTGAGGCGAAGAATCCCACTTTACCTAATTGTATTAGGTTATCACGCATGCTATGCCTAGAGCTGAAGTGATGAGAAATGTTGAGTTGGGATCGTGTATGTGTGTGTTCCTTCGTTTGGTGAAAATTACAATTATAATGCGACATCTCAATTTACTTGTTCTTTGCACCCACAACCACATTTGAAACTCACTTAAAACAACATTTTAGTAACCACTTTATCTAATAACAGGGTGCTCAGTAAACTTGTCTATATTCCCCGGGGTTAGGGAAAGTTGAGATGAATCTTGAGATGATGAGACCCTCAACATCACTACAGTCACCTTTTTCAGTTACAGCGCTGTTATTACTAACAATAGCCCAACAATCGTTCACCCTGTCTATTGTTTTACTATTCCCAGTGTACATGTTGCCCTGTCTCTCTTGTTTACACACTGCTTACTTGTTACTATCACTGAAGTTGTGTTGCCGGCATTTGATAGTTGATTTCAAAGGCCTTGAAACGGCAGATATTTTAACTTGTCTTCTTTTTTAGTGCCGTCGAAAACAGAAAGTAAAATATTTAATATGTAAGGTTTTGAATAATTCGACTACGTATTTGAACACCGCATACGACAAACTGGTCCACAAACGCTCGGGGAAAAACAATAAGAATATCAAAATAGCTCAAACTTTAGGGGTCAGCTTTTCGTCCGTGGTTGTAAATTTCATAGCTCAAGTTAATTTATTAATGTGTCCATTCCATAATTTATTAATGTGACCATTCATAAATATGTTCAATAGTCAAGTAATATATTCAATATTACGGAACGGTAAAGTTCTCTCTCTCTCTCTCTCTCTCTCTCTCTCTCTCTCTCTCTCTCTCTCTCTCTCTCTCTCTCTCTCTCTCTCTCTCTCTCTCTCTCTCTCTCTCTCTCTCTCTCTCTCTATCTCTCTATCTCTCTATCTCTCCCTCTCTCTCTCGAAGTAACAAAAGAAATGAACTTGTATTAACCTGCATTCGTCTGAGTTTACCAGTAAAGTGGGTTAATACATCAACTCAGCCTAAAGGGACCGTAAAAAATGAACCCAATAATCCTCATGAAATCTAAGCATAAGGTTTATGATTGTATTTTTGGAGTAATTCTAGGTATTAGGTATATTATGTTGTTTTTCTTTTGTAACCCGTTGGGCGTTGAACCCTGTGGTGTTACTTTGGTGTTACTTTGGTTTGTATTATAAAGTAAAACCCCGATTTACCGCGCCCCGATTTACCGCGGCCATTTCCTTCCCCCTAATAGGGCTTAACATGCATAATGTAAACAATCCAAACCTCGATTTACCGAGAACCTCGATTTACCTCAATCCCCGATTTACCGCAACTTCTTCCTTTCTCCTAAACTCCGCAGTAAATCTGGGTAGTGAGGGACGAGGTTCCAGTGCCACCCTGACACCTGCCCTCCAATCCTGTTAAATATACCAGCTCTTTTCCGTGAGCCCTTGTTCCCCTCCCCGCATCCACCAGCCTGATTGCCCGCTGCATAATTGTCTGCATTAAACCAGCTAAATTTAGCGCCCCTACCAGGGGATGCAAATATGTTTTGGTGATATGTGTTTGGTCCCGGTTGGGCCCAATGCCTGGTCGTCCTATTAAGTGCGCTGTAGCAGGACCTGGCTAATTAACCTCCTGTCAACTCTCACTAGCCCCCTCTCCTCGCTCCCCTGCCACCACCGCCTCTACCGCCTCATTTTTACCTTAATTTTCACCAATTAGTTTTCCTTACCGGACCGTTTGGTAATTTCTATTTGGCAAATAACGCTGTCTACCCGCTCCCAAATCCGTACATTGCTTTTCTGCCTTCCATTTTGGACGAATTGGTCTAATTTTATCTGTATTTTCCTTGTGACAGAGTGAAGGAAACATAACTGTTGGTAGGACTCCATCTAGTGTCACACCCTCGTAATTATGTTCGCAACATAGTTTAACACTACCTTGTTTTCAGCTGTTTTCAGACTTGTATCAGTTCCGCACTTTATTTTACAACTTGATATTAATCTAGAACACGGTACGTGAGCCTATCATCCAATTTGCTATATCTCTGTTTAAACTGAAAACTGATCAACAATTAACCCTGTTGATTACCGCATTGTAACAACTATAAATTGCTAATGATAGTTAACTACATCTTCCCTGTTGAGCTACACATCACGTGTAACCTCTGATCACGTGTTCTTTAACGACCGGCCTAAACCTTTCTCTTCCGGATCAGACGGCAAACCTGAAACCGTGAAAAAACATGCCCCAGTCTCACATAATAAAGGTGTCTAGTGGGTTGACTAAAAGGTCGGGTAATAATATGTTGCCTATTGTAAAGGTATGTTATAAGGTACTCAATTGTAAAGGTACATTACCCATAATAATAACCCTAGTTCTATACAGTATCAACACGTCTATGATATTACTCCCCAGTCTCCTACCAAATGGTCGATAGTAGTACTATTAATGGCACTACCGTGTTAGATTTTCCGTTCTCCACCGATCCAGGTAAGGTGTTCTTTAGTCTTTGTCGTGACTCCGCTGAGAGTTTGGGTGCCCAATAAGGAGGGGGAAACCAGATCCGCGACCAATGGGCTGACTATTTCACTGCCACGTGACAAGTCTTTGTATACGTTGGGTACAGTCCACAAATCTAGCAAAATTTCACACTTCCTTTAACAAAACGAGATTTGGGGGTATTTTTACAATGGGCCTAAATGTCATTAATTCGGCTCATTGTGTTAACACTAGCCAAACTGAATAATTAGCTCTCATTCTTTGTGGGGGTTGGGGACGAGGCCGACGAGTTCCCTACCAGCTTTGGTTTGAGGCCAGGTGGGAGAACTGTAGTCCCCCCTCTCACCTGCTTACCCCCATTATTTGGGCACCTTCTCCCCTCGGTGTTGTGTTACCAAGCTTCTAACCCGTCCCCCGACCCCCTTTGTCTTCCACCCTCTCCTCAATTAATGATCTTAATCCTCTTATTTTGATGTGCTGAGAGGCTTGTGTTCACTATTGTACGCTGTTCTCCCTGTTCTCTCCTCTAAAACCTTGAGGTTAATGTCTAGTCCCACTCACCTGCTACGATTTATCGTTTAATTTGTGTTACAGAGTCTTTATCTTCAGACTTATCCACCAATTTAGTTGCCAAGTGTGCTCGATGGTTGTATCAACAATTACCTGATTCTTGTTTAAATGTTTGTTAATTCTGTTTTCTGGTGTAAAGTTAAGAATTTACAATAAAACCTCCAGCCTTTGTCAATTTGTAGTCGCATCTTAAAGTCGGACCGAGGAAATTAACGGCTGCATCTTAGTATCACGTGATTTAGTTTCCAACGCATCACTCTATTATTATAATATTATCCAGTAGATGT